AAACTCTTCCAGGAACCCCAGAAGTGTTCCCAAGGTAGAATAAAGAGGCATTTAAAAAAAAAAGATGATTGCAAATCCTGTTATCTCCCAGATATTGGAGGTGAAGAATGGGGGAGGGGAGAGAGGCAGGGACTGATTGTTTCAATGTATGTATTTATTTTTCAGTCAATAAAGGTCCCCTCCCCAACTAAAGTCGGACAATGAATATTTTATTTTAGTCTTGTAATTTCCATCGAGACAGACCTTTTAACCCTTTCGCCTCCAGCTGAGCTCGAGTCCCCAGCGCCAAGGCAGTCCTCCCCACTAGGTCCAGGGAACTGTATTAAGCTCAGTTTCAGGAGCTGTTTGTTGACCACATTCACGTTCTAAGCCCTGAAGCTAAAAGCACTTTACACCATAAAATAAAAGCACTGTCTTTTTTTCTAAAAGGTTACGTCTGGAGGCCACGATGCTCATACTTCATACAGAAAACTACTGAAAGGACTATGAAATCCTCTATGATTTACGCTCTCTCACTGCATTAGGGTATAGATCTACTCAGCTCTAAAAATACGATGGAGTTTCTAACCAACGTGAATATATGTGCATTATTTCAGAAAGTCTGTTAGAAAACTTGTCAACACATTATAAAGCATAAACCAGAACTTGGCTATTAAATACGGAGATCAGAGGCAGCATATATACTGCAGGAAGTCCTGGGAAAAGTCTCCCCTATTGGAGGGGTGGGGGGGAAAGGGGCTATTAGCAAAGAGTTTATACACAATATACACCAAAGGTTTAGAAAGAGCCCACGGACCATAATTACGACATAAATGGAATCAGCAAAGGCTTTACAACCTTAAACGCAGTTAACTGGACTGCCAGAAAATAATTTTAATATTGTCATAATTTATTGCTCTCCAAAAGCCACTTCAAGAACGGTAAATATACTTATTGTGTAGCCAAGAGTGCTCGTTAAGCTTCTCTTTCAATCCCCCCCTCTACAAAACACCTGCATCATTCATCTATGCCTACATTAAAAAAAATCTCTTAAAAGACCTTTTTTTTTAAAAGAAGCCACCCCCCCCAAAATGTCCCCCCCCAACCCCACCCTTGAAAGGTTAAGTGAACTTCAGGTGAAGTGGGGGAGTAGGCAGCGGGGATGGTAAAGGAGAATGCAGCACTCGTGGGGCATGGATCAGATGCCAATACAGTCATGATAATAATCCAGACGGCATGAAATATGGCTTTAAGGGGAGGGAGGGGAGAGTTTCCATTTAATTCCGGGCATTTTATGATGGTGAAATTAAATATATGTTAATGGTGGAAACGTTACTGGTTGCCTCTCCACTGACACACACGAAAAGCAGCTGCAAAAAATTGGCTTTTTAATGTATGTTTTAAGATGTGGTTTAGGAAGTAACCCCCTGGAATCTCAAACAAGTGCAGTAATAAAGCAGACCTACTTGTAACTAAGTGCTTAATTTCCTATGATTTTTTTTTAAAGAAAATCAATAAAATGTTGCCAGTTATTTATTGGAAATAACCACAGATAGATGCCCTGATATGTGCTGGCTTTAGAGAGCACACAATTGTGTAATGAATTGTAATTCAGAAGACTGTTAAATGTGAACCACAGAACCTTTCAGAGGTAATAAAGTCATTACTTTTTACACTACATCCAGCCCTGAAAAGCTTTATATACGCCATTATAGATAAATCATATACACTTCCACGATACACAGACACCTACTTATATACCTTCTGTATATATGGACTTTTATGGATAGATAGTACAATATTCAAATATGAAAATCCTGGGTTCTAAAAGAATGAGACAGTTTGCTTTTGTTGCCTAAAATGGCTTTTATTGTATTTATTGCATTTATTTAAAAGGAACACTCAGTGGCACTCCACCCCCCCAACCTTCTTTTCCCTCAGTGCATTCCCCTTTTTCCGCCACCCCTCACTCAAGCAATGACATTAATTTGGTAGCTCAAAGACTGTTTTATAAAGAACAAGACAAAAATAGATAATAGTGTAAGATAGATGCTGACCTGCTCTGAAGAGCCCATGAAAAAGAGGAAAATCATGTCAGGTACATGCTACAGAGCTTTACTGCAAATGATTCCTTCCTGCTTCTTAACAGGATTTGAGTAATTTTTTCCCCCCTCCTCTCAGTGTAGAGGAAAACACACACACACACACACACACACACACACACGTGCACGCACAACAAACCGCACACAGAAAATCCCTGCTCGTCTCATTCCACAACTCTCCTATTACTGAACATCAAAAACCTTTTCTTCTCTCAGAGGTTGCACGAAGCCTCCTCGGAATAAGAAGCCAGTCATTTTGAATAGGTTTAAAACTTTAGGAAGATGAAACCAACATAAACAGCCAGTATGCAAGCAGACAAGACTTGAAGGTACAGATGCGCGCTCGTGCGTGCATGGTGTGTGTGTGTGTATGTATGTGCAAGCGTGTGTGTGTGTGTGTGTGTGTGTGTGTGTGTGTGTGCGCGTGTGCGCGCGCGCCTCCTTGCGCGGGCGCGCAGCTCAGCCAGGGGGTGGTTGAAGCTGGAGAAGCACCAGATTTAGGTAAGGTTTAAAAATAAAAAAGTCCACAAAGCATTTCACTTTACATGGCCCATCCCCCCCTTGGATTTAGGAATGTAATGGTTAGAAGAAAATAGGGGCCATGCTGTGAGCCTTGAGGAAAAGAGAGGAAAAAGATCTTCATTCATTCAGGGTGCACACCTCCCTCTCCCTGCAGCTTTCCCTTCAGTTGGCTCCCACCTTCTCCTAACTCCTCACCCAATACTGGTCCTCGATCTCACCGTTGCTTCACTCCATTCCTCCCTCTTCCGTCCTCCCTCCCACTTCCTTTTTTTTGGGGGGGGCAGGGGAATAGAGGAACGTCTGGCGGCTGGGTGCCATTGCAAGGGAGGGGAGAGGTGGGACGACTTTGCACGCACGTTTCAGAATAAACTTTCCAATCGTAGGGGGTGCTGTTGCTGTACATTTTACGTAAAACTGAAAGTATCCCACGCCAGAGAGAAGCACGCTTTTTGACAGCGGTGGCGGCAGCAGCAGCCGCCACGAGCAGCAGCCTATGAGTGTGTGTATGTATGTTTGTGTGTGTGTGTGTGTGTGTGTGTGTGTGTGTGTGTGCGCGCGCGCGTGCACACTCGCGCGCATTAAAGGGACAGGGGTTCATTTCCAACAAGTATCTCCTAATTTCTAAGTTTCAGCAACAGAAAAAAAAATAAAAAGGAGAAAGGGAAGATATTTGAGCTGTATGCTTTGGGAGTGCAGTGGGGGCGGCGGAAGGAATGCATGCTTATGGGAAGGGGGCTGAATTCCAGCAGGGTTGGCAACCACTTTTCTTTTCTTCCCTGCTGCTTTTGTGAGCAAACTGTGAGATTCCTATTATTACCCATTTTCTGTCCCTTTCTCTTTCCTCTTCCTGGGTAAGGTCATTAATACAACTTTGCGTGTTAAAATATTTCTTAGAGTCACGGCTTAGCTTCTCTTTTCTCCTGTTACATTCATTCATTCATTGGTTCATTCATTCTCCGAACATTTCTCTCTCCCTCCTTCCTCTCCCTCACTCCCAGTTTTTAAGTGAAGAAGACGTCCTTTCCTTCTCCCCAATCCATCCCAACAACATATCCATTTCCCTCTTCCTTTCAGTTTCTCTAGATGGGTCATCCTTCATTAAAAAAAAAAGGCAATGGTTTTTAGGCAGTAGCTGGCACCCACAGGCACACACATACAAAGCCCCCCTCCTCTCCCGTTCCTTTCCTCCTCCCTCCCCCCCCAGCTGGTACCTTACAACCTTGCAACTCGCTGGCTGCTCTCCTGGCCATGGGTGCTCAATATTAAAGGGTAAGTTTCGGCGCGGCCGAAGCTATTGCGGTTACCGCTGCATCTCCCGCCTCCAAGCTGCTTATCTCTCCTTCCTGAACGAGTTTGCTCTCCTGGACTCTTCCCCACTCTTGTCAGTAACGGCGCTGACTCTCTGAGTTGTGTTTCTGTCTTTATTTATTTATTTATTTACCCTTCTCTCCTTCTTCCTTTCCGGGCCGCGGCACCTCGCTTTCTTCGGATCCGTGCTTTGCAGTTTCATTAAGACATTGTCCCTTCTTCTTGTACTCAGACTTCCTTTAGCTACCTATTCTGCCTGCTTTTGGGGTTGCAGGGGGGATAGGGGTAAGTAGGGAGATGCTGAGTTGGAGCCTGGGCTCCCCCTTTACCCCTCACCTCCCTTTCTGGTTGCTCCCCGAAACCCCTAGAATCTTCCAGTCCTTCCTCTCTCCTTTACACACAGAATTTCTCCTTTCCTCTCTCCCCAACCTGGGAGCCCGAGGCTCCTGAAAGCCTCTGCCTTTCTGGCTGCTACGGTACACAAACTTCTTTTACAATTAATTCCTTACCACTCTTCGCAACACCCCCTCCCCAACCTCGGTGCTTCTCTCCTTGGGTTGTAACTTCAGAGTCAGTTATAAACTTCTGGTTTTTCTTTTCGTGTTTTTTTTGGGGGGAGGGAGAAAAGTTTCAAAAGTGCAGATTGATGTCGGCTTTCACTTCTGCTCCAAGATGCAGGCATGCCGGGCTGTGTGTGAGGTTAGCTGGGGAGAGGGGAAGTGGGTGTGTGTAAGGAGGGGGGTGTCCTACAGCAACTCTACCTGGTCGCCCCCTGCCCCGCGCCTTTTTTTGCTCCTCTGTTGATTCCTTTCGTCCTTTTCTACGTACATCTTTAGCGTATTATTTAAGCACTTCTATCTCGTGTTTTAACCTTTCTTTTTAGAGGGTGGTGGAGGGACGGGGAGGACGTTCCCCCCCCATCACACACCTCTCCTTTCCCCCCTCCCCCTTTCTTTTCTTTCCTCCTGGCCATGCCGTCTCCTCCTGTACTCGGCTGCGGCCACTTGTGAGCTCAATGCCCCCGCGCCTCCCCTGCCCCCCTCTCAGCACCACCTCCTCCCTTCCCACCCCCCCATTAGGCAGCTTGTGTCTGGCGTCTGGAGAGCCCCCCCTTCCACCTCCCCCTCCCAGCACTGTCCATTGGCTTGTCCTGGTCTCTTTTTCATGTCCAGCCCCTGATGTGTGTCCATTGGTGTTAGCCTACCCTTCCCTCCTCCCCTTCTCTCCTGCTCGCCCTGCCCATGTTTTGTATGTCTCTGTCCATCCAGGCTCCTGACGTTCAAGTTCGCAGGGACGTCACGTCCGCACTTGAACTTGCAGCTCAGGGGGGCTTTTGCCATTTTTTTCATCTCTCTCTCTCTCTCTCCCTCTCTCTCTCCCTCTCTCTCTCCCTCTATCTCTCCTCTCTCTTTTTTTTTTTGCCCAAAAAAAAAAGCCATGACGGCTCTCCCACAATTCATCTTCCCTGCGCCATCTTTGTATTATTTCTAATTTATTTTGGATGTCAAAAGGCACTGATGAAGATATTTTCTCTGGAGTCTCCGTCTTTCTAACCCGGCTCTCCCGATGTGAACCGAGCTGTAGTTCACCAGCCGCCGCCGCCGCCGCCGCCGCCTCCTCCTACTCCACAACCCACCATGTCTCGCCGCAAGCAAGGCAAGCCCCAGCACTTAAGCAAACGGGAATTCTCGCGTAAGTAACCCAATAATAATAAATAATAATAATGATGATGATGATGATGATGATGATGATAGTGACGGGAGTGGGAAAGAGAAGATGGGAAAGAAAGGATGCATGTGCATGTGTTTCATTTTATTTTTGAGAAGGGGAAAAAACATTTTAAGTGAGGTGTAAAGAAATTAAAAGGGGGAAACCCACAGCACCTTAAACCGCAACCGTGTTTGCACTTTTGGAGAAGCGTGCACCTCTCTTTTCGTTATTTCCCTTCCCCTCCTCTCTCTTTTCGCCTTCTTTTCCTTTATTTCTCTTTGCGAAAAGAAACGCTATGATTTTCCCCCTTATTTGCAAAATAATTAATGATAATAATGAGAGTAATTCCCAGACAACCCCGGGGAACAGGAGAAGGGGCGAGGGATTTCTTTCTCCAACCGCCGGAAAGAAAAAAAAAGTCAAAGGCTTAAAAAAAAAATCCTGGGAAGAAAGAGGTGAGACTGGACATCGGACGCCGGCTCCCATGGTCAAGTGTGGACCAGAGAGAAAGTAATAACAATAATACTAATGAATGGAAAAGTGGGACTTTTAGGGAGGGGGGAAGTCCCCCCTTCCCTCCTCCCCATAAGCCTTGTAGAGAAAAAGAAAGAGGTGGAGAAGAGAGGTGGTGAGAGGGAGACGAAGGGTTTGCGTTTGCTACGTGCGGGTAAAAGTGGCCGGTCTTTGCCTCCTTTTGTTTCCGCTCCGAGGTGGGTGTCTGTCCCGCTGTCTTTTGTGCCTCGCTCCCTCCCTCCTTCTATTCCTCCCTCCTCCTCGTCGTCCTCCTCCTCCTCGTCGTCGTCGTCCTCCTCCTCCTCAGCCGCCGCCGCCGCTGCTGCCGCTAAAGGGCAGCAGGGGCAAGGGGGGTGGGGGAGGACTGGGGGAAGGGAGGGTGGGGGAGATGTGGCTGCTGCCTGGACTGGGTTGGCTTGGGTTGCTGCTGCCGCCGCTGCCGCTGCCGCTGCTGCTGCTGCCTGTGCAGCCGCATCTCGTGGCTTGCTTTGCTCTTTGCCGTCTTTCTTTCTCTGGGGCCAAGTAACATGCCCCTTCCCCTTCCCCGCCCCCTCCGTTCCTCATCCCGCAAAAGACACAAAACGCGGTTGGCAAAATGCAATTTGATTTTTATTTTTCCTGCCAAAAACAGAGAAGCTAAAAACCTCAGTAGCTCTACTGTGAACCGAGATTTTCCAACGTGCAGTCCGCTCTCCCTGTCCCCCCCTCCAGAAAAGAGAAAATTCGCACGCACAGAGCACAAGGGGGAAAAAAAATCAAACCAAACAACAACAACCCAAACCACAACCCCCTAAACCCCTTCCTTACAAACTTAGTTTGCAGGCTGCACAGAGAGGGAGCGAGGAATTCCCTCCTCTTACTATTTTTTGGAAGATTTTCAAAAAAAGTGGAAGTGGATTTTGATTGGGAAAAATCTCGTGTCTGAATGTTTACAAGCACCGCGTGTGCGGGAGCCTCCTGCCAACAAACAGATACAGGACCCAAGCTAACCAAACCAGACCGAAAAGGAGAAAAAGCAACGCAGGTCCAGTTTCTTTCTCTCCCCCTAACCCCACCTCAAACAATAATAGTATGGAAAGTAACATAAAATCAGATGCCCTGGAATCAGAGGAGGAAAAAGCAACAACTAATTCTCTCACTCCCCTCCTCCCAAACACATATAACTGACTGGAATTCACAGTATCCGTCATTAATAGAAAAACAGAGCTTTTGGAAAAGCTAGATTTTAAAATTATTTTGCAAAACAAAGAGGAACAACGCCTGCTTCCAAGTCCTTCCCCCTCTCTGCACCCCCTTTGGATTTTCCTCCCTTTTTCTCTGTTGGACTGGCTAGGGAGAGGTTTCAAAATGAGCTTTCCTTCCACTTTGCTTTGTAACAACAAAGCTCCCCAGCACCTCAAAGACAAAGTGGGGGGCGGAGAAGAAAGGGGATACGCTTGATTCCTAAGAACAAGTTTGCACTGAGGCTGTGCCTTGTGCAGTGCTTGGGATCTGCAGGGCTCCGGGGCAATTCTCCCATACTAGCTAGCTACTTTCTCCCTCTATCCTATCTGCTTAGTCTGGGTTAGAAGATATGGGGGAATGTAGGTGGTGTGGTGTGTGTCTGTGTAGGGGGGGGGAGTTGTCAGAATAGCTACATTTGGCTGTAAGAACAGCCCTGGTACTTGTCTTGGCCTGGGGCAAAGTTTGACTGCTAGGGGGAAAGTGTAAGGGCTAGAAAAGCCAGTCTTAACGAACCCCCCCCTTCAGCATTTAAAAAAATTTGCTTATTAAAGTTAATGACTACCTACTCTAGATGCTTTTTTTTTTAAAGGGGGGTGGTTAGGTTTGGCTCAGTAACTTCTCACACTTTTGAAGATCTTTTGCCTTCTTTCTGCCCACCCCCACCTGAAACATGTTGCAGGATCCCTCCCTTTCCCCACTCCCTTGCATCCCTCACTTCTTGGTTCCTCCATCCCCATCCCCCACTCTCCCCTAGCCACGCCGGATACCGAACAGATCGGGTGCTCAGCGATTTGAAGTTATTATACTTTCAGGTACCCGAGGGGGGAGGGCAGTTTTTTTCTCCTTTAAGACTTAACAAAAAATAAGTTTATATGTAATATACATATATGTTATATATGTATATTTTTTAAAGGATGAGGTTGGGATGAAGAGTGAAGGTGAGGTTTTCATCAGGGGCAGCCTCTTGTTTCCTAGACTAATCTCCCAGCTGAGTTTTCAGCATCACCCCTCCCCATCAGTCTTCCACCCCCACCCCCATCCCCATGCATGTATTGGAGTTGGGCAGCTAGTTATGTGGGTGCAGGGGATTCTCTTATGTTAACTTTTTAAAAATATATGGGGGTAATAAAGGGGTATAGATGTGGGGAACTGGCTACTATCCCGACCCCCAGCTGCATCATCCCCCCCCCTTCTGATCAAGCCTGAATGTTCTGTTTGGTCGCTAGGAGGCAGAGCAAGATCAAGAAAGCTCAACGAACTTGAACCTGACCACTACCAACCCGCCTTCCCCCAACCCTTCCCCTCTTCACCCCTCCCTTGAATTCTCAACGTTTTCCTTGGCGGGGGAGGAATGGATATGTGTGTGTGTGTGTGTGTGTGTGTGTGTGTGTGTGTGTGTGTGTGTGTGTGTGTGTGTGTGTGTGTGTGTGTGGTGGTGGTGGGGGGAGTGGAGAGCGCGCGGCTGCGAACCGGAGAATTTCCCTCTCCTTTTTTCCTCTTATTTCTTTGTTCTTAATTTTGGCTTTAAAAAATAAGATTCTTACTAGAGCCTCTGCAAACTGCGCATAGGGAGAGCTATAGATTAAAAAATATAAGGAGTGCACAGAACAGGGTAGAATTTTTCTTTCGGAGTGGAGATGGTAGAAGAGAGGAAAAGAAAAACGGAGCTTTAGAAAGCGCGCTTTTTCTCTGCCTTCCTTCCTAAGGGTGAAAGCAACGGAACGATTTCCTCCGAAGGAGAGCCCGGGTTTGGCAAGTTTGCACTTGGTATCTAGATAGATTTCTCCATCTCCCACTCCCCAGTCCCTTTGCTGGGAGCATACACTCTCCTGGCCCGGGCGCTCGCCTCGCCTGGCCCTGCTGCTGCTGTCGTAGGAGATGCACACACTCCTCTCCTCGAATGGACCCTCCTCCCTCGAGCTCCTACCTCCCAGCCTGGGAATCATAACAACAATAGTAATAGTCATCATCATCACAACAGTAATGCCACCAGCGCGATTAATAATGAATAACCAGACTACCAACGCGCGCGCACACGCACCAAATTGCAGAAGGAAATTTCATTTGCAAAGCTCCCCCAAAGCGGATCAGTAAAAGGGGGTGTGAGTGTGTGTGTTATGTTGTAAATATAATTTCTTACATGACTTGAGGCAGAGGGAGGAAGTTAGAGTATATGTATTTCTTTTTTTAACTGACTTTCTTTCCTCCAGGTCCTTCCAAACCCCGGTCCTCTTTTCATAAACTAGCAGGCAAGACGTATGTAGCCCTAGCCCTTTGCGTTATCGGGCTGGATGGTGTTGGGTTGGAAGCGGGGGACCGAGACAGTAGCAGCCCCAGGGAGCCCCATTCTCAGTTCTCCGTGCGCTCCTCCCCCCTTTCCCCTTTCAACCGAACGGGAAAAGGGACGGGGCAGCTTTTGCACGTGTTCGCAGCGACCGCTGCTCGGAAGCCTGCAGCTTTGCACGCTGCTCGCATTGTGCCTAGCAGTCAGCCCTCTCTTCCAACTTCGCTTTACGCACAGTGCCTCTTCACCGGCCCCCCCCTTCCATTTTGCTCACCTTTAGTCCCCTTTACCCCCCACCTCAGTCTTGCCTCCTTTTCTTTTGCCTTCCTTTCTTGGGCTTTACCTTTCTTTAAAAAGCCAATATTTCCATCCTCCGTTTGTTTCCTTACCCTGACAATCAAAAAGATGCACTTGGAAAGCAAACTTGAAGAAGGCATTTCTCTCTCTCTTTCTCTCTCTCTCTCTCTCTCTCTCTCTCTCTCTCTCTCTCTCTCTCTCTCTCTCTCTCTCTCTCTCTCTCTCTCTCCCTCTCTCCCTCTCTCCCTCTCCCTCTCTCCCTCTCTCTCCCCCTCCCCCCACTCCTCCGTCCTCTGCTTTCCCCCTCCCCCACCCCGTCTTCCGCCTCTCAGCGCCCCTCAGCTTCCCTCCCCATTTCCCTATTTTTCTTTTCTTTTTTTACTCTTCTCAGATGAGAGAGGAGGGAGAGATACCGGCTGAATCAGTTGCTGGGGCGTTTAGATATCTCTTGTCTGTCTTGCTATGTGAATATTGAAACATTTTATTTTCCACTTCTCATTTCACGTGAAGGGAGAATTGGTTGTTAATTTTATTTCTTGCTATCTCTTCAGGGCTTATCTAGAACTCCCTCCCCCTCCTCAGACCCAAGTTTATGGGGGTGGGGTAGGGTGAAGGAGGGTGGGAAAATGGAGGGGGGGGAATGTAAAATGGCTGAGATTAGGAATGTTTTTAGGGGAAGAGAAATTTGCATTAAAATACAGAGAAATTATCTGATGCCCAGAAAGGAAATGTTGATTGCCACTGAGAAAAGATGTCAATGCAAATCAGTGGCTAAACCAAGAGAATCGTATTTTCCTATTTCCTTTGTGCACCACTCTGTCTGATTTTTTAATAATAACAGCAATAATAAAAACACGTTTTGCTGTTTCTCTGTACATCTCTAGCCAAATGTTTTGCAAGGAAACACGGTGTTAAACGTATTTCATACATTAGGATATAATTCTTGTTAATTAGCAATAATTTACGTTAAGAGCATAGAAAATGTTGAGGTTACAGGTTTTATATCTGTACATTTGATCATCTTGTTATTTTCAAGAACTTTGCCTCCTATAAAATTAATTAGGTGAAATGTGGAGGTGTAATCAGCAACCTCTGAATTACCACTTCATTTCCTGGTTTTGATTGTAAATCAGCTCAGTCACTACATTTAGAAGACTTTAACCAAGTCTGTTTTTGTGTAGCATTACCTATAACTATTTGAAATCCAGAAGAATATTTTTTTTTTACTGCCAAATTAGATTTCCAATTTCAGAAGTCAATCAGGGCCTGGGAATTAAAAGAAAAATCTTGAATGGGATATTTTTGGCCAAGATTCTAGGTACTGATGATTTTAATACGTAAATATTTTTACAGTATTTTTTCTTCTGGCTTTAGAGCTTATAACTTGTAATTAATACTTAACAGAAAGATACATTTGCCTATACTAAAATAATGGTTCCTTAATTTAGACAGGAAAAATCTTGGAGAATGATTTCCTTATTCAATTAACTCACATTTTAAAAATGCAAGCAAATGTTCTCAAATAAAATAGCAGAAAGAATACAAAAAGCTCATGTTTATTTTGCTGTTCTAGAACAGTGTACAAGTCTATTATGTGTTTACCCTTTGGTCACTAAGTTGGGAAGAGAAACTCGAACGCTAAAATTGTTGTCTGTATTAGCAGTAATATAACCTTCATATTCCTGTGGTTGACCTTATGTTAAATTAGGAGTAGGACTGGAGGCTTGAAATTATGGAATCTATCACAGTGCCCTACTTGGAGCTCAGGTGCAGTTAGGTAGTGCTCTCTCAATATTATTTTACCCAGCACATCTGGGAGCTACTCCAGATCTTCCCCCTCAATATTCAGTCTAGGTAGGGTTGAAATAAATTTAACCTGAGTTCACTGGATTTTTGCACTTTATCAAAATCTGTTCCAATATTCTACAGTCAAATTAAAATCTATTTTTTGATTCTCTGTGGCTTTAAGTTCATTAAATGTGAAATTGGCAGCTTGCTAAAGAAGGTCAGACTGATTAACTGTTTGAGAGTTGTACATATTCTGCTCCCTTTCATTAACTGACAGTGTTTGGGATGGGTTTTGCATTTTGTAATGCAGTTTGTTTTTGTTGTAGAGTAAGCATTGTGTTTCATGAGCAGAAACATAGCAACCCTTTTCTCCCCCTTGCAAGGTTAAAATGATAGAAGCTATTCTACTAGGTGCCAAGATATTTCAGGGCAAAGTTTAAAAAAGCTGGGGGGGAGGTAAGCAGTAAAGCATGTCTTTCATGCCTACCTTGTTATACCATCCACTGGTGATTGTGTGTGCAGAAATAGCTCCATAATGAAGCATTTTGGAGCTCATTCAGAAAATTAGTCAACTTGGACAACATTAGAAGTATTTCAAGTTTAAAGAAAGGACTTCTCAGCGTTGTTATGAAATGTGGCATTCAGTTGACCATACTGATTTTTCTATCATGAGGGCCACCAAGCACAAACACGTTTAGAATATTTTAGGCATTCCTTTCTTCAGAATGGAAGAAAAAAAAAGACGAGTTGGCTTATTTCCTTAAGTAGTCAAAAGTATCCTATTTAGCTAATGTGTCTAAGAAGAATTACCAGTGAATTTGCTTTTTGAAAAAATGTGGCACAGTTTAAAGTGAGGGCCTTGGCTGTCTATTGGTCGTGTAAATTATACTGTATTATGATTATTTATTTAGATGCTTTTGCAGGTAAATGTTATCTTTCTTAGGACCACCGTGTAAATGTAGCACTTTTTGCTATTTGAGATGCCAGGCTTACATTTTATGGAAATGTACCTAACTAGATACAATTAGGTTTGCTTGCATTCAAACACACAGAGGTGTGTTACTGTTGACTACCAGTTTTGTGCTTGGGAAGTTTAGAAATGAAATCATTGATTTAGGGAAAAAGAAACACGTTTACTTTTGGGTCTACAACAATGTTACTATAATCTTTTTTAAATTTTTTGGAGGATGTTATGTAATTCTTACCCCACTATATTAACCATTCATTTAAAAATCCCGTTTGGTTTAAACTTCCAACCCAGGCAAGTTTGCTGTACATGTTTTGTGTAGTTCTGCACGTTAGGCAGTTTCCTTAAAAATATGAGGAGCGTTCTCTTTGATAAATTCATTTTCTTGTTGATATCCACATTCTCATAAATTTTTGTATGCTTGTATTTTCTTGGCATCTTTTTTTTTTCCTTTTAAAGCCTAGAGACATTTAACGTAATGCAGAAGGGTTAGATTTAGGATTGAAAAATTGATTTCCCCCCCTTTTCCTCTGTTTTCTAACACCTGTGCTTTATGTCTCCCAAATTGCAGCCGAACCTCTTGAAGCCATTCTTACGGATGATGAACCAGACCACGGCACGTTGGGAGCGCCAGAAGGGGACCATGACCTTCTCACCTGTGGGCAATGCCAGATGAACTTCCCATTGGGGGACATTCTCATTTTTATTGAGCACAAACGGAAACAATGCAATGGCAGTCTCTGTTTAGAGAAAGCTGTGGATAAGCCACCCTCACCTTCGCCAGTTGAGATGAAAAAGGCATCCAATCCTGTGGAGGTTGGCATCCAGGTCACGCCAGAAGATGACGATTGTTTATCAACGTCATCTAGAGGAATTTGCCCCAAACAGGAACATATAGCAGGTAAATCAGAAGCAAGGAGAAAAGCTGTTTGCATGTTTTCTTTCCTTCTGCAATAGGGGCTATATAACTAAGCACTAAGGAGTGGTGGAGTGCTATATGTATCTCTCCACGTAACTGTCCACAGTAGCCCTGTAATTTTGATCCTGTTGCTAATGTTCAGAACACAGAAAAATAAATATTTTCCACACCACTGAGTAAGATGTAGGCCACACACACACACACAGACACACACACACACACGTACATGTGCACACATGCCCTCCTGCCCTATCTACATCTGCTGAGACTCCGTTTCCCTTTTTTTGATTTTGCAAGGGCTGGTTCTTTGTCTTGTCCTTGATACACCAAGCCCAATTTCTGATGTCCACCATTTTCCATCTTGGTGTCATGCCTAGGAATAAGTAATCACATGGGATTTTATGGGTCACCCAATGATCTTAGTGCTTTAAAATCCCTGACAAGGATACCCAAGAGGAGAGACTAGTACTGAGGCTTTCCTAAACTGAAAATGGTTTGGCCGGATATTTGGAAGGGTGGGGAAAGAGTTAACAGAGCTCCAGGGCTACCCTTGGATCCATATTGGCTGTCAGCAGTATGGGGCTGTAATTAAACACAGCCCGGTGGCAGGGATGACACCGCGACCTTGACTTTAAGATGCCATTTTCGACTGGCCAGGCCAGAGTAGAGAGGGCACTTTCTGAAGCGCACAGACATGCTTATTCGAAAAGTTTAAGGGCATGTTGGAAATTTCAAAAGGTTGGTTTGACAGGAAAGGCTGCTCTCTGCAGCCTGCCTCCTCAGCTAAATGATAAATGCTTCTCTGTGCTCTCTCTTGTCTCTGATGTGGTTTTGACAGATGTATCTTGATTCTGTTTGTGGTTTACACAACCACATGTCACCCTTACAAATGTCCAGCCTAGAGTTCCACTGTTCCTGTTCCAATATGATATAAAAATTCCATAAAAAAAATACATGTATAGATTCAGTAGTGCCCTTTTCCTTAGCTAATTTTAACTAAAAGGCACCTGGATGTGTGAGTTTCTAAGGAGTTGAGAGAGGAAGAGGAAATTGAACATAGGAGAGCTTAATTTTCCCTCATCTAGGTGAGAAAGAGGAGCCCCCTTACTGGGAAGATTCCTAATCTGTTAAGATGTCCCTTAAAACATTTTTATGAAACTCCGGTGGCTTAACATATCAAACCAAGTGACTGGATGATCTAGCAAGATAGAAACGGAATTTCCACCAATAGAGCCCTCCCTTCAATCTTTCCCCATAGGCAAAAGGAAGAGAAGGGTTGGGTTAGTTTGAGAGAAGGCAGTGCATGTAATCATTTGATACACTGGAGCTTCTCTCTTTGACTTGGTTTGGCCACAGAGTTGAACCATAATAGTTCAGTGGGCCTTAGGGGATTAAATGTCATATTTCTCTCTTCCCCCTGGAATCTAATCATTCAAATCAAACTTGGCATTTGTATTTTTTCTTTTTTTTTTTTATAATGTTCACAGTAATAACATTGAGATTTTTTTCCTCCCTTCAGTTAATTGAAGGCTCTGCTACCAGTAAAGCTGTATTTGAAAGTTTTTTTTTTTAATCCAACTTATGTGACATGCAGGTTAAAGATTTTTTTTTTGTAGAGTAATATGTGGCAGTGACCATTTCCATGTGCTGTCTGTGATTTGAAGGAAAATGAACAGAAGTGTAAGGCATGATTAATGAAGCAAGAGCTAGTGGAAAGGGATTTGTAGTCTTTGGAGATCCAAAGTCATGCTAAATCACCAAATATGGAGTAACACTTGCGTGATGTAACATCGTATTTACATATTGAACTGCTCTGTTTAAAAGACAAAACACAGTATCTGTCAAGCAAGAATTAAAACCACACTCTTCACTATAGTCCCAGATAGGTTGTTCAGACTCAGATACCCAGCTTTAAAATTCTGGGATTCTGTTAATGCAGAAGTGATACCGGAACTGGGGGCAAAGCGCTATGGTTCAGAATTTTACCATTATATGTGTGAGTCTGAGAAATGGGATTGCCAAGTAATGAGACAATTGGGGATGGAGTGGTTTTTACCTTGGTGGTTGTCATAAAGGTTCTAGTTAGTTATTATTATTAATTATTATTATTATTTGTTAAGGATAAGTTACAATACCCATGCAGTGGATAGGGAAGGAGGAAAAAATGCTAGATGTTTTTATGTTTTTATGGGTGATATTTAAAACTAAACTGAACCTAATACTAGTAGTTTTCATAAGTAGAGACAATATCTAGGGTATAATATAGGTACACAAGTGAGGTGATCCAGGTGGAGGTAAATGCCCTGATCATTTGCAAGTCTGTGATTCCTTTCATTGTATTTAATCACCTTTCCCCACCCTGGAATCACTGGATATAAACAGTTTGGGCAGATCTCAAAGCAGTTGTGTAAGTAGCTAGAATCATGGCTTCTAATAACTGAGATTAATGAATGAATAGTTTCCTATGGTGAAATTAGCATTCCAGTCCATCAAGGGCAATGTGGTTCTAGGTGCTCGGGGTGCACTTGAAAAATTTAGGAAGACAGTTATATACTTCCAAATACATTTCTCTAAAACACATTTTCATAGCTTCTTTTCATTTCATGATCAAGAAAGAATGGATCCTAGTAATCATTCAAAAGATATTTAAATATACCATTTGAAAGGAGTGGAAAAGCAATACTGTCTTATTAGGAAAGGAACACGATAAATTACTAGAAGAATGTATTTGGCAACCACATGAAAAGGTAGTCAGCTAAGTGGGTTTTATTAAAGTGTTCTAAGTTGAATTTGGATACAGTGAATGCTGTGTGCCATTTTATAGGCAGTAAGCTGAAATATAAGACTAAAAGACCATCTTACTGAAGTAAATAAAGCTTGGGGCTCAGAATAAGGCAAAGTCATTTAAACCTACAGCAAAATGATACACATTTTAACTGTTCTTGAGTCTTTCAAAATAAATGTTTTCTAGGGAAAATGATTGTAGCTGTCAAATAAATAGATGAGCATAACACCAGCATATATACAAGTATATGTATTAATTCATAAATATATTATATATTGTTGGATTGAATTTTCTCAAATACATTGAGTAATTATTTGAAATTTGTTATATTGACCTGTTATCATTGCAGAAATGTCAGAAGTTGAACAGAAAATTAATAAGTTATGTTGGGTGGTAGGCCTGTTGAGGCAGCTTTCATCAATAGTTATGCCAAATATTTACCACCAGGTTCCAGCAGCTTTGGATTTGTAGCTAAGTCTAGAAGAGTTTGTTTTTTCAGTGTCATATTTTACAGTGGAGGGAAATATTAACTGAAGTACCTAGAGATCGCTGAATATAAAACTGATGTTCACTTATTGAAAAGATTGAAAAATATTTACAGTCCCATGGTGTCAGATTTGGGGTTTGGACTTTGTTGAGTACAGAAATCTATAAGCTGGGGATAGTTTTGTGAAGGGGGGGAATGAGGTAAAGGGAAACTGGCTATAGGCATCTTATTGGAATATTATATCATTTTCTGTTTATTAATAACTATATATTTGTTTAAAAATTGCTAAGATAATACAAATCAAATCTACATAAAAATATGACCCCCACATTTTGATCCAGTGGGAAATAATAATAATCCCAAAATAAAATAAAATAAATAAGCTTATTACTTAAAAGATAGAGGAAATGTCAAATGTTTACATTTTTCAGAATTCCTAAAATGAAAAAAGTCTTTCTTTTGTACCTTCTTGAATTTTTGCTGGCTCAAACTGAACTGAGAGATGTATCTGTACATTTGTGGTATACTTGTAAATAAGACTATAAATTACAGTGGCCTATTATGACTGTTTTCATTGTTTCTTATTTGTTTGGTTCTGGATGAAAATTACATATATGAAGTGGTTTGCACTGCATCTAAAAAAAAAAAAGAATCCAACCCAGTAGTCTGCCACTGAAAATTCCAGTTGCATCTAATATCACAAATCTAGTGAATATTTCCCTTCTTAAATATCTACCAGTCCTCATCAAAAATAATCCTGGCAAGCCAGTTATCAATTTGTGAGGCCACTACCCAAAGGCTCCTGGTCATGAGCCTGTGAGTCCTACATACAAGCTGTATTTGTAAATAAGACAGAGAAAGGTTGTGAACCTGCAGCTTGGGTGTTTTGTCAAAGTACAATGTCAGAGAAACTCTTTCTAAGACAAATTGTAAATAGAACTGTCACAGTGATTGCATGATTGAGCTGCAGAAGTGTCTTACAATTGTTGGCATTGTCAGAGGACTTTTGAAAGCTTAATTAAACACAGTGGCCTGTATGGCTGCTAAATTTACTTTGGGAAAGGGGAAAAAAATGCTAAAATGTAGGCGATCCAAAAGTTCTTCAGATGTTACCCTTTTGGTGACACATAAAAGATGCATTGTTCATTTTCCTAGTAGCCTTTTATAAATAATAGTTTTGAGAATTGGGCCACGTGATATGAAGATCATCCTGTGTATGATGTGGGGATTGTGTTAGTTTTTCTATCTCCTGCTGTTACAGATAGTTAATGTAAAAATGGCCTTTTATTGGAAACACAAATATGTATTCACTTCAAGAACAGGAGCAGAGGGGGAGAAAGTTTCCTTCCCATTCTATGTGTCTTTTCTGTGAAAGCATCAAAAAAAAAAAACCCTGTAATTTTTAAAATCATGCCATTCTCGATTGCTTTGCAAGTTGTGCCTTTTACTTTTAAGAGATCTGAAATAGATTTCCCACACCTTTCTCCTTGGGAATGTGACATTCAACTGTGGAGCTGGACATTTGCTGTGGTGGAACTGGGTGCAAAACATGCTCCTGCAAGTGTGGATTAGAACAGTAGGCAGTGGGCTCAGGGCAAAGAGTGGCTAGGTGCATAATAGTGATACATTTTTGAACCCTTGAATATCATTCATTTCCCATGCAGCTTCGGTATGGTTTCACTCTGAACTCTGAGGATTAAACTTGGAGAT